ACAGCTTCAAAAAGGTTTTGGCCAACGATGTTCCATTTCTCCTTAAAGAAGGCAGCTGTATATCCATCAGGGCCTGGAGATTTGTTATTGCCTATTGAGTTAAGGGCCTCCCTGACCTCCTGGATTTTCACCTCCTTTGTGAGTTGTGTAGCATCCATGGTAGCAAGGCATGGACCTTCAGAGAAAACGCCCCAATCAAGCTGTTGGATGAGGACAGTACTACCAAACAGTTGGGTGAAATAGTGAATGAATTCCTTGGCAATGCTCTCAAGTGATTGTGTCAGATTCCCTTGGTCAGTAACAAGGAAAGGGATTCCATTTGATGTTGTCTTCTTTTTCATCAAGTTGTGAAAGAACTTACTACATTTGTCCCCTTCAATGAGTAGCTCACACTTGGTTTTCTGCTGGAAGAAGCTTTTTTCTGCATCCTGGAGGAAATTGGCTCTCTTCCTGATTACCTCACTCTCAGTGATGAGGGTTTGATTATTAGGGTCAAGAACCAATTTACTCATAATATTTCTGTATTTGTTTCTTGCATCCCAAGCTTTAAGGGAAATGTGACCATACTCTGCTCTGTTGATCTCTTTCAAAGGTTGTTTCAAAAGCTTGAGTTTCCTACACAACCTGTACCGCCTGGTGCCCTCAACCCTTTTGCTCCAGATCTCCTTTAGGGCATCATCAAATCTCTCATGCTTCAACCACATATTGAAGAATTTGAAGGATTTACTGCCCTGGTAGTTAGGACTGGTAAGGTTGAGAACATCTGGGCAATGATCAGACTGTGGTTCCATATCCTTGAATTCAGCCCAGCAGTCCCAGTTCAAAAGATCCCAATCATAGTTGACCAACACTCTATCCAGCTTGGCCCATTTGTTCCCCTTATTCCAGGTGAACTGCATACCAGAAGATCTAGGATCCATGAGGTCATTATTGAGTCTGAATTGGCGAAGGTCTGTCATAAAGTAAGCACCTTGGGTGTGACAATTCATTCTCTCATAAGAGGCAATGACAGAGTTGAAATCCCCCATAACAGCCCAACGCATATTAATATTCCTTCCCAGTTCAGAAACATGGTCCCAAAGGGTCCTTCTTATTGTCACATTATACAGAGCATACACAAAAAAGATCCCAAAAGTTTTCTGAGACGTGAGGCATTTCACTGTGCAATGGATCAGTTGATCGGTAATATCCATGGCAGTACAATCAACAAAAGTGGGATTCCAAAAAACAACCATTCTCCCATCCTGGATGAAGTCAAAATTATGCAAAAATTTCCAGGAGGGTAGCTTATTATTAGCAAAAATCTTGAGTTTTGATTCACTCAGCTTGGTTTCAAGGATACAGCATAAGTTCACACCAAGTTCAAAAATGTATTTACACAAAAAAGTCTGCTTCTTAGAGGCCCTGCCAAGGCCTCTAATATTCCATCAAAGTACCTTCATTCACTGGTAAGGGCCTTGGCCCCTCCCTCTGCTTCTAGTAAAAGCACCTCTCTGTCCTCCCATCTGTCCTCCTCCTCTTTTCTGGTAGGGCTTTTTAGCATCTCTTATTGGGTGAGTTGTTAGTTTACCTTTTCCTCCCCCAACCTGAGTGAACCCATCCTTGTCCACAAAGACAGTGAATGATGGTGAGGGATCATTAGGATAAATTTTCTCCTTGCCTCCACCATCATCACCAACCAGAATTCCTTTTCCCTTGTCCTGGTACGGTGTTCCTTTCCTTCCTTACCATCTGCTTTTTCAGTATTTTTCCCAGTCTTCACCTGGTTATCAGTTTCTGCAGCTGCCTTAGCCTCTGTCAACACGATGACCTTAAGGGTTTCAACCCTAGCCTTCTCCTTCTCCTTTTGTTCTTCACTAAATCTCTTTTTGTTGATTTCATGAAGAACTTTGCAGTTGAAAGGGTCATGACCAAAGCATTGGCAGTGGTGGCAGTACTGTGGCATGCCTTCATATTCCACTTTCTGGTTATAGCTTCCTCCCACAAACTTAACAGGCACATTTAGGGGGGGAGTCTTGGATAGGTCCATGTTGATGAGGACCCTACAGTAATTGGCCTTCTAATATTTCAGCTTGTCATCCTCCTCAATTTCATCTGGATTAAACTAAGAAGCCACTGTGTTTGTCAAACCATCTGTATATAATGGTTCACCCAACTGTGAAGCAATGTGATTTAGGCCCTTGGACGACCAGAACTGCATTAGGACATTCCAGAATTTGACCCAAACAGGCATTGTAGCAAAAGACTTAACATCCCACATGAAATTATCTTTTGGAATGCTTAGCAGGAGCTTCTTATTAATGGCTTCTTTATTCTCCTTGACTAGTGCAGTGTCTCTATCTTCCTCAGATTTGAACTTGAAGACTATCCAACCTCTGTGGTGTAGAACAATTTGGCATTGGACCCCCCATCCATCAGCAACCTTTTGGATTGAGGCCATGCTAGGAAATCTGCCAGTAAAACATCCCACTAGGCAAGGACCCCATATGTCTTGTACAGA